TAAAGAACAAATAGATTGTTGAAGATGGACTTTCCTGTGTAAGATTGTGGTTTGATGACACAATAAAGCCATTTTTAAGCTGCCTTGTAACATAGACCACAGCACTAATGTGGTACCTGTCAGCTAAAATTAGTTAGTGCACCTATGTTTTCAAAAATTATACTGGCTAACTTTTGCAGAGGATCAGGTATCATTTTTCACCCTGTAATTTGTGCAAAATCAGGATCACTTTCCTGTTCCACACTAGAGATTTGACAAGAACATGCTTTTGCATCCACACATGATTCAGAAATTTTTGATGAAATTTTTGCTGCAGGGTGATTTGCTGATGCACTGAGCCAGTATGAATGGTTATGGAAACAAGGCCTGTGTTTCAATGATAAATTTCATATTTTCTTCTGCACTGTAATGAAAAGAAAGACACAAGATCCTGAGGAAAAAAAGTATGGGAAACATGAAGAGAACCTGATTATGTATTGATAAGCATGTTGTCAGGCACTCTAGAAATTACTTCTGCCTAAGGCTGTGCAAATAACAAATTCCTCAGTTTGGTTGCTGAATTGAAAGGATAAAACCCCCAGCAAACTGTTATCCATTACCAAAACAAAAGTCCAACATGGTTTGCTTTATTCAAACATAACATATTTTTTTCTCTTTCTTCATGAGTACTTGAAATTAAACATAACAGACAAAACCACTGGAGGTTTTCTGCAGGTGTCCTTTTACTCAGAGGTATAGAGGGTAGTACACATATACAAAATGTGTAATGTCTAGATCAAATTCTTTTGAAGGGGGATCTGAACCCAGCAGGGAATTTGAACTCAAGACATACTAAGCAGCAGTTCAAAGTATTCTGCACTGAGAATCGTGGTATCTTTTGTTGACACCTTTTCCCATTTCTGTGAATAGTTATTAATCAAACCTCTGACTCAGTGGTGACCCAGTTACTACATGCAACCTCAAGGACATTGCCCTAAATTGCAGAAGACACTTGGAATGCATACACATATGCATGCAGACATTTGCACACACAATTCAGCATTGCATAAGAAAAATTTAGCTAGCTGCACATGATCTGGAAGCTCTGCAGACCAAGACCAAGGTGCTAGTCTATCTCCCAGAACCATCATTACTGCAGTAGAATGGTGTTGAACAATCCACCCTCTCAGCAAAGCTGGCTAGACCAGTTGGGATCAGTTTCTTATGTTAAATCCTGTAATAAACTTAAATTTCATGCATCATAGTGGATTACACAACAGTTTCATGAAAGACTGATGCCACCAATAAATACATTTCTCCAGTCCCAATGGTTTGAAAAACTAGATGTGATTTCACAATTAGTTTTTAAGACAGCCAATCCCCCATTCCGGAGACTTTACTATTCTCCAGTTGATTTTCCACCATCATTTCTAATTGTGAGCAAGAACAAAAGTAACATTTAGGAGAGAAAGAAAGAGCTAAACAAGTGACTTGAAAGGTAGTTTTTATTTTGCAAACATATTTTCATGTACTTACACAATTAAATAGCCAGTGAAGTTGGTTTTGTGGGCTTTGAAGGTTTGCATGAAGTCAAACATTTTTCCAGCCTTCCTCATATGAAAGCAACAGGCATTTTGCACATCAGTCTATGCTGCAGCAAGTGTACTTCACCAATGGAAATTATATGCTTTATCCCCAAATTCAGTGCATGAATATGCATAGAAATATTGTCAGCGCAAGAGTGGGGGGAATGTGAGTAAGATTCGTTACAAGGTTGGCAAGACTGGGGTAGGAAATAGCTTCCATAAATCAGGAGACCAAACAGGCTACAGTTCTTCAGCTTGGAAAGAGAGATGAGAAGGGTTATAAGAGAAGTCTCTGTTGTGAGTGGCATGAAAGAGGTTACTGTAGGATGATTACTAGTAATATATCACAAAACAAATCAAGTCATCAGATAACAAGTCTAGAACAAATAAAAGGAAGTTCTGTTTCACACAGTGCATAATTAGAGTATTAATTAGTACATAATTGGAGTGAAATTCACCGCCACAAAACTGTGAGGAGAACAAAACCATACACACGCTGAAAAAGACACTGGGAAAATGGGAGTCTGCAGGTCTTTAAAGACAGTGATCCTGTTGCTTTTCAAGTTAAGATGGCCTCAGAAGTACAATGGTATCACTTCCTTGGAGCACAGCTCCACTTCAAGAGCCACTATGATTGGAATTAATATATGGTGAGCCACATCTTCCTTATTGGTTTCCCCTCCGAGTCAGATGACTAGCAGCCTCAATCAGCAGCAATCAATCTCTATGCTGAACACATCCCCCTTCCCCATTCCTACTTGCTTCTCTCTTTCTTATTTGGGAAGGGGCAAAGTACTGCCTGGAGGACTGGTTGGGATGTCTAACACTGGGAATCCTCCAGGGAGATAGGTGACAATGCCTTGCTTGCTGTATGGGCAAAGGATGGTATGGAATTAAGAAAGTGAAAACAGAGAGAGTGCAGTGGGAGTGAGGGGAACGGCTCAGGCACTCTGACTGAGTAGGAACAAAACAAGCATAATTCGAAGGAACAGAACCCACCTCACAATATTTATTCCTAACTGTTTGCTTTGCAGAGGATGGTCTTGCAACTGAGAGTTATAGATAACAAAAGAAGAAGCTTGTCTGAAGTGAATATAATTATTTGCTCATTGTCTAAAACTTATTTGGCTCTTTGCCTTCACTTCAGGTGAAATTGCAGTCTAACATTCGACAACGTAACAAATGGATGATGCAACCATCATGGCCAATTATTCATTGTGACCACAGAAAACAGATAACAGGATGAGCATTACACTGAATTTTAAAATAGAGACTTTTTTTCTCCCCAGTAGCACTTTCAAAACCTACTTGAAAATTTCTGCATGAGTCCAAAAAATACTACAACATATTTACTCCTGCTCGTGAAAATACATTTATCAAAATTGTCACGTGGGACTATTACTACAAATGCATCCCATGAGGAGAATTCACTGTAAGTAGGACACAGAGGAAGAAAACTCACATACAATTTCAGCTGTGGTATCTGTCTCACACAGTCAACACTTAAAACTTCAGACAGCTGTGTATGTTCAAAGGCCAGGAGCATGTTCCTTCCTTTCCAGTTAGAGACTTGCACAGAAATACCAGTGAAAGGTTTTAGCATTTTGGATTAGAATTCTCAATGTTAAAGGGCTATGGTATTTAGGACAAAGCATTTGAATAAGACAAGAATGTTCAATGAAAATATTCAGTCTTTTTTCACACGTAATGTTGATACTTCAGAGAACAAAAATACAGGAATGATCACAAAAATTGATCTGGGTCAGCAGCATCTCTTCTCCTCTCAAACACTCCTGAGTGTTGCCAGCTGGAAATTCAGGCTATGTCATGCCACAGCAACTGCAGAATAATTTTGTAGCCTGTAATTGTGTCTTAATTCTCACCCTGGGTTTAGAGGTATGCTAATGTAGTGTGATAGCAGACAGAAAGTATGTTGGTGGCACTTTTGACAGCTAATTAGCATATATCACTACTGTATTAAGTTTTACACTGTGCTGCATAAAGTTAAGTTCACAAGTGTAGGAGAAAAATGTATTCTCTTCCCTGACCTGTAAACTGCATTGGAAGAACCTTTGCAGGATTATTTAGGTATACTATCAACAATAATGGTATTTATGTGTAATATTTTCACTTTCTTGTGTTTCTGTATGCATGGATAATATATAAAATAAGACAGACTGCTAACATGCTAACAAGAGAAACACAAAAATCAATTTTGTTTTCAAGTTGGATCTCAGAAGGAGGTTTTCAAAGGCACAAATGGCAGGCTTGTCTAAATCCCATGGAAATTCACTTATGGTACATTTATGCCTTTAAAAAATCTGCAGCTTTGAATTACAAAAGACAGAATTAAACCTAAAGGCTTTGATCCTGATACTGTTTTTACACAGCCAGCAAAGATATGCAGTTGTTCCAAGAGACTTCTACTTATTACAGAGTATGTTCAGGTCATAAAAACTCATGCACTTAATTCATAACAGAAAGTACTTAAGGACCTGTGTTATTCCACACAAAGGAATAGACTTGCTAGAGAAATTGCAAGTGAAGGCAAGTAAAACTGTGTGAGGTACACAAGTTTTGAGGACCCTGACATCTTGTATTACAAGGTTTTAATATCACTTAAGTCCTTTATTGGCATAAGTAACCATCGTTCCACGGAGGTCAATCTAAATATTCCAGCATGACTCTTTATTATCACCTCTACCAAAAGAAAAATCTAGACGAAATCTTACAGACTGACAGATCATGGTAGGTTTAAGCTTTAGACCTGTGAGGAACAACAGCAAGCTCCACAATACAACATTTCTTCTCACTGTTTCCAAATCTGTTTGAAAGGCTGATTGATAACATTGTGTGAAACAAACCTTCAAATTACTAAGGTCATTTTTTAGAAAAGATTGCTATCACAATTGTTTTTGTTATTAGTTATACAAGAATATAATATATATAATATATGCTTGTTATCAATTACACTTATTCAGTTATCAGTGCAGCTCCTTGTGCCTAAAAATGTTGGCTTTTTTTATAGGTGTCATGCAAACAGGTTATAGCACACACAGAGCCAGAAGAAAAGTAATTATAGCACATCTAGCACCCACCCAAAAACATCTATGTAGATAAATAACCACGATCTTAGATTACAATAGTATGTTAGATTTGACTCAGCCCTAAAATATAGCTTCTCTGGCACTGGAGCTGACAGTAGCTGTGGGGTCAGCCTGCACCTCTCCGAGCACTGCAGATAAGGAGTGAAGAGTGTGCATGCACCTGCAAGGAAGAGCTGAAGCAGGTGGGGGAAGGCAGCATGCTTCCTTCTCAATGCAAATGCGCACACGCCCTAGCATACACTTGCCAGTAATGTCCTAAGCTTCAGTTCACATAACTACAGTCATGTCAGGAGAAATAGAGAAAAATAAATAAAGTTTAGAAACTGACCTGTTTTTCATTTTCATCCTCCAACCTCAGCCTGTCCTCAATGCAGTTCCTGGCCTGAAGGAATGCCTTCCTCTGAGCCCTTTCTGTCAAAATCCTCACAAAGACCCCATACAAATTTACACTGACAAAAAGGATTGCATTGGCCACGAGCTGTAAAAAAAAAAAAAGAAAAATAAATGAATATTTTAAAATACATATTTTTATTTTATATTTCTACTCAGTAAAATATATATTCAAACTGAAACAAAACAAAACTGTTTGAAAATTGTGCCTTGCTAGCCGTGTCACTGATACCTCTTTCAGCAGTGAAACAATTACAGCAGCTACCACAAATTCGGGCAAGCAATATTGATAATAGAGAATTTTGCATCTGCTGAAGTTAATTTATCTTACAATGATCTGTAGCTTATCATTTTTATTCATCATAATTTCTTTCATCAGCCCATTGGCAGATCTGTCCACCTAAGGAGAGCAGTATCCTCAGTATTTGTTCAAAATACCCAGAAAACTGAAATTATTTTCCTATGCCTTCATAAAATAAGGATATTATTGGCCCTTTTTTTACACTTGAAAAGCAAGGCACTGACAACCCTGTGACTGAATCAAAATGTATGCCTAGGTACTCCAAGCTTTCATGTTGCATAGTTTGCACTTGGCAAACTGCTTATTTTCCCCTATCTGTACTGTTAGCATCCATACTCTATTTTTTGAGAAATCATCCAAAATATTGTTGATGCCATCCTGCACCAGACCTCTAAGAAGGTGCTGAGTCTTTTCAAATGATGGCACAGACCAAGCCCCACCACAATGCTATAATCAGGGACCATGAATTACTTCGAAGCTACTTCTATGAACAGTGATTTTATGAGAGACATATAAAAGAACTCAATTGCCCTTTTGGGTTTTTTTAATGTTTTTTACAATATGTGATAAAGTTACTTAACTAACCTAAATAACTCAACAGTGGTTTGTACACTTCCTATCTAAAGCAATCCTGTTCATGTTTCTCACCACATCTCTGATGTCTGAAACATGTCTTCAGATTGTAACTTCTGCAATGCAATGTTTATTTAGTAAGGAGGCAAGAAGGCCTGTTTACCCAATGTATTTTCAGTCCCATCCTCCTCATTTCCTGTAGTGACTACCACAGCATCATAAGGGTTCATGGGACTCAAAAATTCCAAAAATTCAGAAGTGAGTAGGCACATAAATTGACCAAGAGTGGGCATAATAAGAGTAAAGATATTACAGCAAGTAACACAATTCATGTTAAATTTCTATGCACCTAAAATGGTTCAAAAAGACCATATAATTGACATTTGTTTCCTAATTCAAGGTATACATTTCAAGCTAGTACATCTCTGTTGCATGATCTGCTAGTGTAAATTGGAGACCACTGCTCTTGTGTACACAGTATAGTGAGTCAAGCTGTGCCAACAACACAATCAAATTTTAAGAAAAATAAAACTACTGACATTGTTGTAGAGAATGCTTGCTAACAGGGCTAGAGTTGAAGGCTTGAGGGTAAGCCAATATGCCAACATGGTAAGCAAAGATCCAAAATGGTATCCCTGATGTTTTTGGAGAGACTTTGGAAAATGTTTCACTGTACAATAATAAAAAGGAATTTTCTGTTGAATGCAGCTAATGTCAATATATATCTCCACCTCTTGTGATCTCAGAATAGTATGGAGAATTGAAAGACTCATTCTGGATGAGTTCTCCAGATCTTCATGGATTCACAAGTTCTCTCTTACCTTCAAACCTGCTCGTTATTAGTTAACAGGACATAACAACAAATTCCATGCAAACTCTTTCACCAGCACAAAATCAAAAGATTACTTAATACAATAAAAGGAGCTGTGCCTAGCATTAGTGTTTTTTTTCTCCTCAGTTATCCAAAAAGAAACAATTATCTCACGAGAACTTACACTAGTGAAGAATAGTGTTACAGTTTCCTCTGGAGACTGGAAAAATGCAGGTTCAGGTGTCATGAATCAGATGAATTTTAACCTAACAATCTCATATACCAGTTACTTACATGCCACTTCTGATAGTAATATACATAGTAAAAATTCGAAGATGAAATGCAATACACCAGCATATTATTTCATAATACAGGCTGAGTATAAACAGTCTGCAATTCCTATTCTGCTTTATTTTGCTTGGTCAGAGAGAACTGTTTGAGATATATAAATTTTTGCCACAAGATAAAGCCTACTGCAATGAAATGACTGTAGAAATTCCAGTAGAATCCTATTTTTAAAGACATGAATGTGGCCATACTCACCTTATCCCTGCATTTTATCATGCCAAAGTGTAGTGACAACACTGTATTTTAAGTCTCTTAGAAGCACAATGGAATAAAAATAGAAAGGATTTGTAAGGTTATAGTCAAAGGCAGTGAAGAGAGCCCACGGAATAAACAGACTTGACCCTATCAAATACAAAACAGCTGTGAATAACACAGGATGAAAATGTCCTTATGTGCTGATATCAGAGTGGCTCGAGACATAAATAATTACTTCTAGAGACAACAAAAAAAGTCAACTCAGTTTCTAGTTTTCAACTGGAAGCAGTAAAAGACTATATATTGTAACAATCTGCCAGCTGTTCTGGGACTATCATTACGATTTCACTCAAGCAACAGTGATCACCTGGACTGGGGGTAACCAGTAGGTGGGCTCCTGCCACTTTCAGACTCAGCAGGGTAGGTCATTTTCCAACACGCTTTGAACAGTTTAAGATAAAACAGAGGCTTAGCTGTCAGCTCTGGCCTGCAGGGAATCAGCAAAGTGATAAAGTAAAGTAAAAGATTCATAGATTTCAAAATGTGAGAAAAGAAAGTAGGGCAGATTATCTCCTGAGGTAAGAGTTCCTTCCCTCCACAACCCGTTTCTACTTAATTACTATTTTTCCCCCAATTGCAAACTACATACTACTCTTTCTATGTTTATCAGATGTGTGCCATTTTCTGGTCCCTTCCATTTTAATATGTAAATATGTACCTCTATATCTACACATATACATACATCTCTATATATAATTTTACACACTATGTGCTGTAATTCCATGAAAGATTGTGAGACTTGCTGTTAAAACTAAGGGACTTTAAAGAGGTACAGAGGCATTCAGAATGGCTGAAATATCAAGGAATTTAATTTTATGTTATTCCGTTATTTACTATACTACTGCTTAGTAGCAAAAAGAGTGCTATTCAGGTTTCACCTGCAGAACCATCAAAGGAACAATTTCCTTAATGCAACACAAAGTGATTCAAAGACAATTTTATGCAGCAAATTTTCAAACCATGTTACTCTCTCAATCCATAATGAGATAACAGGTCAGCCAGAACAAAAAAAAGAGGTATCAGGGTCATGAAAGACTGTTTCTAAAATTATTTTCTTTTCTTTATTGTTGTCACTGAACCTTGTATTGTGCACTCTGCCTATCTATTGTGCTTCTGTATGAACATCCTGAGCTTTAAGCTTCTCTAGTCCTTTGTAGGTTACACTCCTGTCACTGGATGAATTTTGGCATGGTTCCTTATGTGAGGGTGTTACCAAAGGCAGACTTCCAACATAGAGAGCAAATTCTTGTGGGCTGTCTAGTCAGTGAAGAGGGACTGGAAGCTCCAGCAATTATTTCAACCAAATGTCTGTCTCTCCTAGTTTTTTCTCCATTAATTTTTTGAGTCTCTGTTTTGGAAGGGAACTTGAACTGTGCAATACAGCAACACCCATCAAGGAGTGAGAAATAATTCTAGCAGTAAGACACATGTAACATGCCCATGCATACACAGGGCTTGAGGAGTTCAATTAAAGATTTCATTTTTACTCCCCAGATTCACCTCCCACTTCTTGAGCCTCCCTTGGGATTAGTTGAGAGACTCTTTGAAGAGTCTTTTGAAACTTTTTTCTCTGTTCCAGATAGGATTTATTCTCCACTTCTTTTTCTTTCTAAGCAAGAATCCTGATATGTGCATTCATGCTTTTTCTCAAACAAATGGTGAAAAATTCTTCTACGGTATTTTTATTTATTGTTTGCCTTTTGAGAGGACTCTGCTTACTCAGCAGACTATCAGGTAAGCTGTTGAATAGTAGATGGTTCAAACCTGCAGCTTGTTTTCATTGGGGAGTAGCTTTCTGTTTGTATCATAGAATTGTCTCAAAAAAATGTGGCTATTTCACAGAGGTGTAAATGACCCTTGGATCTGTTGAAAACTTAATTACAAAGTGGTATTCGTATGGATATATACTGAAATGCTCAACTGAAGTAGACTAAATGAAAAATATAAGTCATTAGCAAAGGAAACTTCAGGAGACTCCCTCAGAATTTAACTGTGCATTCTAATAGGTGGACTTGTGGTGTGAGTAGGACTGACAAGGGATTTCAATAGTTACCACTCCCAGAATTACAATTTAGTGGGTAACATCAATATTTGGTTTAATCTGAGAAGCCTGAGTTCTCATGACAACCCATGAAGTAGAACGGAATATGCAGGAAATATGGCCAGCATTTCCAGGTGAAAGTTGAAATTTGCAGAAAAAACAAGATCAATGCAATTCCTATATGTCTTAACCCTCAGATACCTAATGAGAGTTATGTTGGGTCTGAATTCTACTTCCAGTTTTCTCTCTTAATTGAATTTTACTGCAAGTAATTTCTGTGCCACTATTGTTGTTCCTGCTATGCTGACAACGTAACATTTAGGCATTTTGTCAAAATACTTTGAGATATGGCAATTAAATACATCATGTTAAAATCTGACTGTCTATTGTGAGGGATGTCTCCAAGGATAAAGTTGTGAACAGCTTACAAAAATGAGTCAGTGCTTCCACCATTAAAATCCTTGAAAAGCAAGGCCTTTATAAAGGCTGTGCCCTTTATAAAAATAATTGATATCATGAAAAAGAGTTTAAACAAAAGTAGTTTCTTTCTCCTGTTAAGGAAAATGCTACCATTAGGGCAGTGCTTTATTTACAGTGCAAGACTGTATAGAGGAGAATGCACAACTGCCTCTTGATCCTGACATGTTTTTTAAGTTTGGTAATTCATTTGGCCAACTCATTTTGAAACTTTTTTGAGAATACTTAATTAATACATCTGCTCCCTCTGATTACTGAAGTGGTGTAACACAGGAGCTGAGA